TATAATGAATCTCCACCCACACTTGCTCGCAACAACAAATTAGATATAGCCTTATATTCCTTGCTAAACGAGTTTTAACTAGTGTAACATACTTGAAATTTCGTAGCACAAACAATAAAATTCGGGGTCAAATTTACCTTGTTAACTTAAAATTTGTGAAATTTCCGTCAACGATATCTATAGTAAATGGTTAAAAAATTTCAATTGACATCTCATCTTTGTCCTAAATTATGGGTTCAATATTCATTAGGAACAAAATTCTCCTTCCTTCTTTCCCTAAACAAAAATTATTAAAAATAAAAACTAATGACTTGCATATATTCTAGTCATAGATGAACCTACAAAGATCACTATGTTTTAGGTCCAGACAGCATTACCCGAGTGTCATAACAAGGTGTATAGTTTTGACTTTTGAGGGTAATTTGTAAAAGAAAATTCCTTAAACATGACACTGTGTACAAATTAAGGTCCCAAAACATTTCAAAGAACCGGCAAGCAGATTCAGTAATTGGGCCTCCCATTCAATTGAAAAGAAAAGCATAAAAGAACAATTGGCAAGTTTTCTTGTATATAAACAATGATGATGTAACTGAAGTAAATAAAAAGAAACATTATCTACTTTAAATTCCCCACCTTTCCCTAGCAAGTAAATAAAAAGATGGAACATTGTGGAATTCTTTATCCCTTTAGCTTTTGACACTTCTTTTGCACATATGTCCCAGAATATGATTAACTCAAATACCACAATATTTCCTTGCACCTAAATCAACATTGAAATCTCCGGGTAAAGCACAAACGTGAAGGTCACAGTAAAAAATCCTAAAAGTCCAAGTTGAATGATATCAAATGTTGGAGAGAAAGTCAAATAAAAATGATACGCTTCTAACTTTCAAGAAATCATACAACGTGTTTGCTTTTGCATAACATTTCAGTCAGGTGGCTGTCAGATATATAGCAATTTCTTTTCTTTTCAATTTTACCATAAAACCTGAACCCGCGCAGAAACTAGAGAGATCAATGACCCATTTCTCTGATCAAAGCAAGCAGCTAAAGAATAAAAAAACCCATCAGGCGTGTATAATCTACAATTGATCACTACACAAATGATCACTTATGTTTGTGTTTTGTCCACTTTTGGTCATTGATTTCAAAAAATATAAAATTGTCACTTTCGTTTTTATTTAATTAATATGTGGTCACCCGAGTTAACTGTCGTTAACAACAGTTAAATATTTTGATATAATCACATATTCGATCTATGTTATTTACATATTCTCACAATTTAGTCCTAATTTGATATAAATCTTAAAGGTCGAATTCTCATTTTAGTCCCTTTCTTATGCTTAATTTCGTGATTGTTGTTTTTTAAAGGGTAAAATACATTCTTAAATATTAAACTTTGACCATATTTTTGTTTTGATCATTAAGCTATAAAAAGTTAAAATTACAGTACTAAAGTTTTCTGATTTATTTTTTAGTCATTAAACCGTTAATATTTTAACGCGGTTTATGATGTGATTTTTTTTCTTTTGTAAAAGATCTTAAATCATTTCAATTATCATCTACCAACATATGTGACATAGATAGTACAACAATATTTAACTTTTATCCCCTATTTTCTTCTCAATAATTTTGTTTTTCTCAAAATTCATTCAAATTCAATGAAAATCAAGTCATAATTTTAATCTTCTAATGTCAAATCTCTGTCGATAATGGTCCGATGAAGTTAGTTTCATAATATTTTTTTCTTGTTGAAAGCATGTTTCTTACTATTTAAAATTTTGGTTGACTACGTCCAAACCATTAAACCCGACAAAGTTTTTACCCCTATAAGAAAGAAAGAGATAAGTGTTAAAGTCTTATAGTTAGCAAACTAACATAATAGAATTTAAAGTATGACTAAATTGAGAGAATATGTAAAGAATATGGACCAAATGTGTGATTATATCAAAATATTTAATTGTTGTTAGCGGTAGTTAACTCGAAGTGACCACATCTTAATTATATAAAAACGAAAGTGACTATATCTTAATTAAATAAAAATGAAAGTGACAATATCTCATTTTTTTAAATCAATGACCAAAAGTAAACAAAAACAAACATAAGTGATCATCTGTGTAGTTAACCCTTAAAAAAATCCTCACATATCCATAAGTAGTGATATTTTATCGTTTAGATGTCAATAAATATTCCAAATCAAGTGGTAATTACCATACTTCAATCACATGGTTTGACATATAACTAAATTTGCATGCCTTTTCTTGTTTTTCTTTGTGGTTTCAAAAAACAGTCATTTCCTTTGTGTTTATTCTTCTCTTGATACTATTAACCAAAAACCAAATTCATGGTGGTTGACAGTTAGGTGCAAAATGGAGAATAATTGCGTTTGGTAGTAGAGGCTGACAAAAAAAAATAAGGCTTGCTCCCAAATAAGTGCCCAAACTATCTATTTTTTATCAAATAAGTGACTACGGTTTTTTTGTCCATCCGAGTGATTAATATTATAAACGTTACCCTTTTAGGTACTTAGGTCGTCAACGTCGTTAGTTTTTCCCGTTAAGTGACACGTGTTAACACCTGATAATTTTAATTTTTTTTATATAAAATTTAAAAAATAATAAAATTATATATTTTTAAAAAAGAAAAAAGCATAAATTTTGAAATAACCCCTAAACTTTAAAAACTTTCATTTAAACCCCTAAACTCACGTCGATCGCCTCCCTCTACTGTTGAAGAAGCTCCACTCGACCTCCTCTCTCCCTAGCGACCATAATCCCTATGAAATCGTAATAGGTTGACTGTCAATCGACCATAAATCGACATTTTAAATCTCACAAACCCTAAGATGAAAATCGTGATCCAACGCGATTTCGACAATTAATCAGCGACAACTACGATGACATATAACTAGGATGATATTAAGGACTACGTCGGCGACGGCGATGGTGGCCAGAGAAGGCTCCGACGACGGATTAAGGTTAGAATTTAGTATTTTTGGATGTTTTATAATACAAGAAAAGTAAGAGTTTTTTATAAACATAATAATAATTTTAATATTTTTTATAAAAAATAAATTTTAAAATTATCTGGTTTTGACATGTGGTATTTAAGGGGAAGCTAATGGCATTGACGATATGAGCACCTAAAATGGCAACGTTTGTAACGTTAGACATTTGGATAAGTAAAAAAACCGTAGGTACTTATTTAATAAAAAATGCATAGTTGATCACTTATTTGAGAATTAAGCCAAAAAATAAATACACAAACAAAACCAATTTACAGGATACAATCCAATAAAAAAATTGTTGCCAAAGTTTGACATGTTGGGACTTTACGAATATTATGATTTTTTAATTATTTAAATCTCACTATATAAATCATGTGAATATACATTTAAATATAAATTCACATAAATCCTATCTTATTTAAAATTATTCTAATATATATTTAAATAAATTTTAATCACTAATCTTCGTCTATTTATATTTTGTTTTTGAGAGGAATCAATCTAGGGATGTGTATGGGTTAGGTTTGGGCCAATCCGACCTGAAAAATATATATCATTCACCCGACCTGACCTTTTGAGATAAAATCCGAACCCGATCGGATTCGACCTAAAATAATAAAAAATATTATTTTTATTCAATAAAAATAGTGATTTAATTGAAAAATAATATATAGAGGGGTATTATTGTAACTATTTTTAAATATATATATATTTTCGGGTCGGGTCGGATCGGATATTTTGCACCTTAAATCCGAATCCGACCCAACTCGAACATTACTTTTTAAAAATCCGATCAACCTGACCCAAACCCCATTTTTTAAAAATCCGACCTGATCGGAACGGGTCGAGTTGGACCGTCAGATTCGGGTGCCATGCCCTCAGTGGTTGAACCGTACGATGCGTGAGACGTCCATTTCTCTCTATTCAAAATTTTAATTATCTCTAAAAGAACCGTTAAAGAATTTAGTCTTAAACATCCTTTTTCTTATTTCATAAATATGATATTATGGACGGTTGACCGCAGCTTAATTCTCGTTGGAATGACTCTCCATGTCTCCTTCGTTGCTGTGGGTAATTCTGTTGTACAACAGTCTAATATAAAGTTAAAAAAATATATTATAAAAAATGTTATATTTTTTTAACATTTACTATACTTAAAAATGATGGGTTATGACTATGAGGTGAGCTACTGAATTATTAACAAGGGTGCTGGAATCTTGGCAAAAAGATGATAAGTTGAGACACATCATTAAAGATTCAGAGAGAGGGAGTACACATCATTCCACATATTCATGGGATGGAAGACAACTAAAAAGGAAAGGAAAGTTAGTAGAGGGTAATGATATGGAGCTTAGGAAGGATTTGATGAGCTGGTTTCATGGGAGTGCTACTGGAGGACATTCGGGGGTTCATAGTACTAGTAAAAAAATATCTGGAACGTTGTATTGGAAAGGGTTAAAGAAAGATATTAAGAAAATGGTGAGAGAATTTACTGTTTGCCAAATCAATAAAGATGACCATCAACATCCTGGGGGATTACTACAACCTCTTCCCATACCTGTTACTATACGGTCTTCTATTAGCATTGATTTCATAGAAGGACTACTTGTGTCCAAGGCCAAAGATTCCATAATGGTCGTGGTTGACAGGTTGAGAAAGTGTGGGCATTTCATAGCACTCTCACATCCTTTCTCGGCCATAACTATTGCTCAACTATTTTTAGAAAATATTTTTAAGTTGCACGGGTTACCTGAGAATATGTTAGGGACAAGGTATTTATGAGTACCTTCTGGAGAGAATTATTTAAGAAGTTGGGAGTAGCTGTAACTTCTTCTACAGCCTATCATTCGGAGACAGATGGACAAACGGAGAGAGTGAATAGGTGTTTGGAAACATATTTAAGATGTATGACGGGGGAGAAGCCAAAAGAGTGGTGTGATTGGTTACATTTGCCATAATGGTGGTACAAACTTCCTACCATTCGGCCATTAAAATGACACCTTATCAGGCTTTGTATGCTCAAGAGCCTCCTGTGCATTTGCCTTATATGGCTGGAGAATCTGTGGTAGCCTCGGTGGACAGGAGTTTACAACAACAGGAAACAGCCATTAAGACGCTTAAATTTCATTTACAACGTGCTCAACAAAGGATGAAGAATCAGGCTGATAAAAAGAGGACTGATCGTGAATTTAATATTGGAGATTGGGTTTATCTCAAATTATAACCTTACAGGCAACAAACTGTGCAGGTTAGAGGCTGTCAAAAATTGGCTCCAAAGTGGTTCGGATCATTTTTAATTGTTAAAAAGGTGGGAAAGGTAGCTTATAAGCTGCAGCTACCCAATGGTTCCAAAGTGCATCCTGTTTTTCATGTGTCCCAATTGAAAAAGCACATTGGTACAGAGGTTTATCAGCCAGAGCTTCCTGTGATTGGATCTGATGGAGCTATTAGTAAGGAACCACTACGAATTCTGGAACGAAGAATGGTCAAAAGGGGTAATAGGGCTGTGACGGAAATGCTGGTAGAATGGACTAATTCTTTTCCTGAAGATGCTACTTGGGAAGTTTTGTATCAACTGCAACACCAATTTCCATCCTTCAATCCTTGAGGTCAAGGATCTTCTGCAGCAGGGAGTTTTGTTATGAACTGTTTACGAATTAATAAAACGTTGTCGTTTTAATTGAGTGATTTGTTTTAGTGAAATGTTGCAGTTTTGGTGAATAGTGGAATATATTTGGGTTGTAAAGGAATTGGTGGAACAGATTTAGAAAATGACAGAATTATGATTTTTCTCTCCTATTCTCTGCCCTTTTTTCTCTTCCTCGTGATTATCTTTCTGTTTCTTCAGTGGTTTTCTTGTGGGTGTGTTTTAGTCTGTTATAGATTAGTGAATCAGGTTATGTTTTCCTGCATCTCTGTATGTGTTTTTAACGAAATTTGAATATTAATTGTGGAATTTGGGTTTTAGTTTTGACTTACATTTTCCTTTTTAATGTCTAATCGGGGTGTTAATTTTGCTTCTCTGTGACTATGAGTATGAAAAGATCTTTTGTAGCTGAGAAATAGGAGAGTAAAGATGACGATGATTGCTTGTGTTACTGATGGTCTTCCTCTGACTGAGGGACTTACGGTCGTGATCTTGCAGATGCTGAAATGTACAAGCAGCAAGTTAAGGCTTTATTTAAGAATCTATCCAAAGGCCATAACGAGGCTTCAAAGATGTCTATTGAAACTGGCCCATACATATTCCAGTATCCTCTTGTGGTGTCAATTTTCCTCATAGATTTTGAGTTATTCAATTAGGCTTATTTTGCATGGTTTTGGTATTATTTGCAATTGCATCTAAGTTTTACTGTTACCTTTGACCTAAGTTCCTAGCTATATCATTGAAGGACGTGTTGTTACTAGACAATGTGTGACCGTGCTTATCATAAGAAACTTGCCTTTCGATATCTGGAAGATCTCAAGAATGAATTTGAGCGTATTAATGGAGCTAAAATTGAAACAGCTGCCAGGCCTTATGCCTTTATTAAATTCGGTAATCTCATTTTCCATATTGTTTGGCTTTTCTGTTTTTTTAATCTGACTAGGCAACTAGTATTTCTTCTACTTTGTTTGTTACTTTTGCTGCCCCTATTTCTAGGCTTGATTTTGTCTTCTCTTTTTTTTTCTTTCTTCAAGTTATTCATACAGAAGACAAAAAAGTTGTACCTGGACACTTGTACTCAACGAAATATTGCGAAGTTGAATGATGAACTCTATGAAGTTCACCAAATAATGACTCGTAATGTACAAGTTCTTGGTGTTGGTGAGAAGTTGGACCATAAGTTCAGAACAATTTTAGGGTATTATATATTTTTTGATTTGATAATTAATTAAACTTTTGTTTGAACTAATGCACCATGGTGAATGCTGAATTTTACAATCAGGAGCTAAGTAATTGTGGTTTTACTAATTTAATGCATCTTTTTGTATTGCATATGCGGGTTAAAAGGGTGAAAAGACCTTGTAGGTGAGCCCAGTTTGTTGCTTCTATATCTGCCTGCATGCTTTAAATTTTATAAATTACCCTTTATTTGTAATACACGTTTGAAAATTGTCAGAAAACTGGATGGTTTTGATCTCTCTCTCTCTCTCTCTCTCTCTCTCTCTCTCTATGTGTATGTGTGTGTGTTTAAAGTAAATTCCATATTTCTTGTGCATGTGCAGTGCAGGTTTTGTAATTTTTGTTCTTTTGATAGCTATTCGTAAGATGTTGATTTGCACTAATCATACTGAAGCCTGCTTTACTGGTCTTTGCTTCTCATTGAGTGTTTCTGGAGTTGTATAACTGTTCACCTTAATGTCAATTAACATTAATTATGGTATTACTTGTAGCAATTGGCGTTCTTTTGATTATGGAGTTCTTTTGATATCTGTTGTGCCTTAAGGAACTCGACTTATATTTTGTTCTTTACTAGCAATTGGCGTGTGATACAATGGCAGAGTTAATTATGGTTATACTTGTAACCGTCGTAGCTTACTTGTATGTATTGCCATCAATTTGGAGTCATCTAATATGACGGTTTAATATGATGTATTCTCTCCCTCCTTTTTTTCACTTGCTGATAGATTGCATTTTTGTTCAACTAAGTATGCATTTAACTTATTCTTCTTTTTTGTGGATGACACAGAGGTCAGCAAAATGTCCATTCGTTTGACATCAGAATCTCGTATATATGCTGACAAGGCAAGAGATTTAAATAGGCAGGTTAGTTTTCTTTGTATGGGAGCATCTCCCTCCCTCCCTCCACTCATTCTCTTACTTTCTTTTAGATTTAGGTTTTACCTTTGATATTTTGTTCAAGGTACTTCAGCTGTGCTGCAAAGTTATGTTCTTGGGGGGAAACATAGGCAACTGATAGATTAGTGTTACAATTGTTCTTTGAGCTGGACTGGTATCTCTGGATAAAAATGGGGAAAATAATTGTCTGCATTGGGAAATTTAGTGCATCTATTTGTTTGAGTTATGGGCTTTATTGGTAGGAAAAAATGCATACATGAGATAGTTACAGAAGTATTTCTTTGTTAAAATCCATTATGAAGTTTGAATGAGCCCTCCCATGAAAGAATCATAACGAGGAATGGGTTTAGCGCATAATTGTAATAGATCATACAGTTTTAGTGAAGTCCCAATTAAGTACCATGGGTAAAAGATGTTTCGACTTTGCTGATTAATTTATATGCTCAATCTGGATACCCCTTTTCTTTTGAAATGAAGGTCTCTTGTACAAGAGCTTAAGTCAGTTTTCAATGTGCTTGTGGTGGATGGATATATCTTATAGAAATTATTATTGTCAGCATTTCTGAAGTTTGATAGTTTGTTATATGTTTTCTTTTGCCTGTAGGCTTTAATCCGTTAGTGGGCTCCTGTTGCCATTGTGTTGGGAGTTGTCTTCCTCTTCTGGGTGAAAACAAAGTTATGGTGATTCAACCGTGCCTCGTTCCCATGTATTAAGAATTCATCACGATTCCTTGGGTTTTTCCTTTGCTTTGAGTAGCTTCTTGCCACCCTTGGAGACCCGAGCATTAGAGTGAATTCTGGTTTTTGTTCATCTCACAATTTAACGTGAAGTTGTAGGTACAAATTTGTATTGTGGAATTGAGACAGAGACCTCAGCTTTAGAGCAAATGTTCAAAACAAAACTATTCTTTCTATATGTGAAAACCAGATTACAGCATCCATTTAGTAAACTTCAAAAGTTTTTTGTTAGATTGTTAACGTCTGAGTCACCACTAGTTTGGACTCTGTGGCTTAAACTACAGCAGAAACTCATGCCTGTTTGTGTTGACGATATTTGAGAAGAAAAACTCAGGTTTATCTTACCTTAAATGCTTATTTAAGTGTTGGATTGACTACCTTAATTGCTGCAATGGCTTCAGCAGCATATGTAACTCCCTTAAGTTTAAGCCTAAAATGAGCCGATTGCAGTAGTAATTTTTGCATTCGGATTGTCGGAAAAAACAACGGATTAACACTTGAAATCTCTCAATTCACCAATTTCGGTAGATGAGGCTGCTCTTGCATTTGTCAGTGCTTTTCTCTGTATAGAGGACCGTCCCTTTGAAGGCCAAAAAATTCTTCAACTTCTTCAAAGATGAAGTACATATAAAAAAGTTCAAAGGTACTATAATGAACTAAAACGCAAAAGGGTTCGTCCAGTTTGTTCATTTATTGATCGTGAAGACACTGTAGTGACAAAAGACTTGCCACTGATTTCAAGTCTTCTTGGATAAAAGAAATTGCGATATTTAGTGAAAATGGAGATTGGCAAAGTTTGTTCAGACTATAAAACAAAGAGCTAATCGACCAAAGCAAATTAATATTGTTTTTGCCATCTATCTGTTCAAGGAATGGCTTGTACTTGAAGGAATTAAGAAAGCAGCAACCGTCATGTAAGAAGTGAGAATATTAATGGAACGTGCAAATACAATATATAATACCTATTTGGCAAGCCGGGATTCAATTTCAAACCCACACCTTTAAATGGCAAATAGACATACCAAAACTAGTCTGTTTAAACTTTAAAGCTTGGTAGCAAGGCAACTCCAGTATTGGCTCTATATTAACAAATTCCTTTTCAACAATTCTAACTGCTTTCACTGACTGATGCTCATCTGTCTGCAAAATTAGCTTTACAGGTTCTTTCACATGACATCGCACAGAACAAGCTATGTATTGCCACCAGAGTTGCTTGTTTGTTTCTTGGTGTACTCAAACTTTCCCCATGTTTTACGGTCTATTCTTATTTTTTTCCCAGAAGAATGAGATATTCCCAGATTTTGTTGGAACAAGGTTTTGCACTTAATACAGGGCCGCCACTGGCCACCCGATTTCAGATTCTCCGGCTCTTAGTCCATAGGACATGCATACAATGAATGACAAAGTGTTATTTTTATAAAATTATAAGGTCATATATGTCCAAAGCACACACGCATATATCCGCTTTGGAGAGACCCATCATTCATCCAAAGCAATGGCAAAGTTAATCTATTGCTCTTGCTTCGTTACTCGCCCATGCTCTAGTCCATCTCCACTCTTCCGCAAACCGCAATTTTCTGGTCAGTAACCACTCCCTCTTCCCATTTTTTGCTTCACTCTTCTTTGTTTTGCATTTTTTTTAAATGTAAGCTTTGGGTTTGTTTAGTTTAGCAATATGCGATTTTTCCTATATTTATTCCCAAAAAATATTGAATTTTGATTCGAAACCGGAAATGGATGTGAGATTTTGAAATGGGTATTTGATGAATGATTGAATACTGGATGGGAAAGTTTCATATGATGAGTAAAAGGGTTTATATAATTGAGTTAATTGTGGAGTAAACTACGATGGTTTAGTAATCTTGGAGGTAAATTTGCTGATTGAAACCAGGGAAGCTAGCTCCTTATACGTGTAAAGTAGGAAAGTTTGGACAATTCATTGAAGATGTTAATGAAACAGCCGAGATTCTGCATCTGCTGCGAGAAAGATGCAAGGAGTCCTTATTACATTGCCAAATACCAAAGGGAAAGCGGGTCTTTGAACGTATTTCATTGCATTATGATGAAATTTTAGAACAGTTACATGATCTTGAGGTATGACGGTGAGTCCTATTGGCAGCTTTTTGTGCTATTATTATTTCCGATCTTGGCAACGAACAGAGCAGTTTTCTTCTTATTTCAAGTTTATTTTGATATGATTGGGAGCTATATGTATATATATTGGACAGTACAAGATATATATAATTCTTAACTTTCAATATCTTAAGTTCATGAAAGATGCATATGCCTTGAAAGTACTTGATTGTTGGCGATTTATGGTGGTATCAAGTTACTCTTTGTAAATTAACACAATTTCCTCCATTTTCTTCTAACTGTACTAATTAATTGATGCTTATGCTGTGGCAGGGAAGCTTAAGGTTAAGAGTCCCGGTGAAGGCATTTCTTGCCTCCAACATTTTGATATTTACTGCTCCTTTCAAAGCCCTGGCAGAAACTTGTGAAGCTGATAACTCCTTTTTCAACATGCCATTACTGCTGTTTGTATCCCTTATTGGTGCCACAGTTGGAGGTATCTTTTTACTTTGTCTCGTCTTTGGTTCTTGTCCATAATGGCTTGCCACTTTGTGTGCTGGTTAAATGAACATATAATGATGCAAACACAACCTGTGATTGATATTTTATTTTTCGAATTGTATTTGATGTGCTTGAAGAAATGTTATCCTAAAATGCCTAGACTCCGATTTGATTCCAAGGTATCGTGAAAAGATTCTAAATGGCTAAACCTAAAAGGTTAGAAAATTTTGTCCTGGTTCTCAGTAACCCAGAAATAAGGTAACTGTTTTCAATTTGGAATACCACCTTTAACTAATGGTACCCATTCTGATCAGTCTACTTAACTAATGGACATGATCTTTTCTTTTCTTCTCCTTTAAAAACTATGTTGCAAATTTTCTACTTCCCTGATAATCCACAATATGTACCTCAGGATTGCTTGCACGACAGAGGAAAGGGGAACTGCAGAGAGTGAATGAGCAGTTGCGCCAGATCAATGCTGCTCTAAGAAGGCAGGCTAAGATAGAGTCGTATGCTCCGAGCCTGAGTTATGCTCCTGTCAGTGGTAGAATATCTGAAAATGAAGTAATCGTCGATCCAAGAAAGGAAGAGTTGATTTCTCGATTGAAGAGTGGGAAGAAATTTTTAAGGAATCAAGAGCTTGAGAAGGCTTTTCTAGAGTTTAAGACGGCACTGGACCTTGCTAAGAGTCTAAAAGATCCTATTGAGGAGAAGAAGGCTGCCAGAGGATTAGGTCTGTTCCCTCTTCGTTTACCTATCTACCCTCATTTTGTGATCTGGCATTATATAATTACTATGGTTTAAGCCAACCAAGTGGCCAAAGAGAGTTGCGGATTATGATGCCTCACGAATTTTTGCTTTGGATCTGTGTGCATTAATCTATTGTTTTGGAGAGTTATGCACTCTGTTGGCAACTTTCGTTATGTAAAGTTTAGCAGAAAATTTAACAGTCTTGAGTTTGATTTATTCAGGTGCCTCATTGCAAAGACAAGGCAAATATCAAGAAGCCATTAAATACCACTTGATGGTTTTAGCAATATCTGATCGGGAAGGAGAGGACTCTGGAAATACAGAAGCTTATGGAGCTATTGCTGATTGCTACACCGAGCTCGGAGACCTCGAGAAAGCAGGGAAATTCTATGACAAATATATTGCCAGGTTGGAAACAGACTGATGAAGCTGCAATTCCCACCAGTTCTTCCACCTTTAAACGTATTTCTAGATAGTTGTAGAGGTTGCAGACAGCTCGAGGACCACCACCTTTTCTCCCTCCTTTAGCATTACCGTTTTTAGATGCCAAGTGCAGTCTTTCAGATTGAAATCGTGAATTTAACAAATTGACTTTGTTGGATAATGCATTTTTCCGTTATGTTACTTGCAAAGGGATCAACCCCGTCACTAACATTGCTTCAGATGGAATTGTTTTGATCCGCTTTTTTCTTTACTTCCAAACAAACATGACAAGAATAAATAAATACCAATCATGTAGAAATAAGCTTTATATATATATATATATATATGAGAAAACAAGTGAAAATACATTAAAATGCTTCCTAGCTGTGTTTAGAACTTGATAGAATGTCGAAATAAGATGGATATAATAGACAAACATATGGCTATAGATAAAAGCAGTGCGCAGCTCCACTGCTAAAAAAAAGCCTCCTAAATCTTCTGTTTAGAACTCAACAATGCAGGAATGAAGGATATTATCACACGAACTCTATTTTTATTACTGATAGTACAATAGCTGCTGGGCAGCAGCAACATTCTGGAACCCGCCATCAAATATAGCCCGACTTCCTCCAGCAGCACTCACTCCCAATGCTGCCTGCTCGAGAGGGTGTTGTCCCTGCAGGTGCATTAGGGCATGAACACCACCCATTTTGCTCATAGCCAACTGCCTCTCATAAGCTAAAAGGTCAATTGCTGAAAGACCAGTTGCTGAAAGACCAGGTAAAGGTGCTGCAGGCGGGGGAAGTGGATTTGAACTTGTCCCAGGTGGTGTAGGTTTGCTGCCCCAGGAGCACTAACAAACAAATTATAGATGTCAATATCTGAATTTCTCAATTATCCAATTACCAAAGATTCTTTTTAAAAGTTGGCAAAGTAACTATGAGATTACAGACAAATAAAGATTGAATCTAAAGATCATAGACCATCCCTAATGGCAATCCAACTCGTTTTAGGATGTTAAATGGTCAATGATTCAATAACTTATGCACAGAATCTCAAAAACATACTCCAAAGACTCAAACTACACATCAATATCTACATATTTATATTTCTCAAATACAGTAGCCATACTGCGAATAAAAACCAGAGAACCTTAATTTGCTTTCCACAGAAAAATGAGCGAGTGTTCCCCATCTTAATAGCAAAAGCAGCCCCAGCATGTGTATTGTATCTAACAAAGCCAAAGCCTTTGTCACGTTGAACCCGAACCTCCTCAATCACCCCAGCACCAAGAGCATGGAAGTGACGATGGAGTTCAAGTTGAGTGACCTACAGGATTAAAAGATAATTGTTTAATTGAACAACCTAAAAAGTTCCTTCAAAGTACAATGAATATTCAGAACACAAGTCTAACTCTCACAAACTTCACTAAAGGATAGGAGGTCTAACAGTCCATATGCTTGAGGATTATTCAAAAGCATACCATCATCAGTGAGAGGCTTGTACTGATAGGTGAAAGACCAATTTTTGTTTTTACTTCGGATGTGTTTCAAAAAGACGACTTTCGTAAAATTTGAGAACTGCGTCCATATGAAAATATGGGAGTTCCTAAAAGTGATACAAATGCATGTTGTTCTGGTTCTATGTATAGTAAGCTCATAATGTTTGGTAACACCCATTTTGGCACTAACTTCCATGTACAAAAATAATATTCCCTCCTTCCCAATAAAGTTCACATTTTGACTTTTGATGGTTAGAATTTTTTAACTTTGATTATTTATAATTGATGAAAATTGGGAAAAATATACTTCAAAAATTTTCAAAGTAGGTTTTAAATATATATATATTTTTTACAAATTTTAATTAATATGTTTAAAAAATGGATTCCAATCAATTGTGACAGTTTAAGTGAGACAGAGGGAGAAACTAAAAAGCTGTTGCATACAATTACTTGCCTCTGGAGCAAGATTGCCACATAAACGGTAGTATATTGAGGATTATTCTCTGGAGCCTCATTATTGGTGGTCTCTTTACCGTCCTCTGCATACCAAAGTAATGAATGTAAGTTTATTTCCCTTTGGGTACAAATTTAAGGATCCATAAAACCGTGTTTTGCATTGAACAAAGTAATCATTAATGTGAATGATTTTAAAGAACACAATTGCAACAAGTATACCTGATGAACCATTGGTTAGTTCAACCACACTTTTAGCATCTGAGCTTTGCTTGTCATCATTGCCACTAGCACCCTTTGTTGCCCAATTACAACGGATCTGCCGACTGCCAAGCCATTTTCCTAAAACAATAAATCAATAGCACATTTGAAATTTTAGTGCAGTTTGAATAACAGCAATCCATGCATGTGATTTTTTTTAAAAAATATTACTAAAAACATCTATAACAACTCAGCAGCACTCCAAAGTAACAGGAGGACGTGGAGAAAAAGCAACCACTCCATGATCAACATGTTCGGCATCACCTCCGGAGCTTCTCTGGCTTGATCTTGATGACTACGAATCCATTTACCGTTGATGAAGTCATATCCGATCTTGAGAGTTGAAGTAAGATCAATAGAACTTGAGAGGGGAACGGAAGTGTCATAGGCAAGGCTAACCCAATGTTTGGTGAAGATGTAGCTAAGGACACAAGCATAAGGTAAAGAACTTTAAAACCAAAACCCTTGAAAATGATATTGACAAATCGTTGAAGATGTTTTGAGCAAGGTGAGGATGAGTTTTTGATCGGAAGTGATAGGTTCACCAATAGTCAAGATCTCTCATATGAGTAATTTTTTCACCCAAATGTCAAAGAAACCAAGTAACAAGAAGGTGCAAGAGATGCTCCTCAAAATCTAAAAGAGCGGGATTATGACCTTGAAGGGGAGTTATAACAACTGAGGCATCCTCATTGAAGGGACCGTCACAAGGAATACCTAAGTCAGTGACAATAGACTGAACAAAAAACTCAATGATATTTCTCATAAGATAGGATTGAATGTCAATGGCTTCCCGATTGTTGTTCAGGAGGTAAATCGGCATTTGACTGTTCATGAAGTAAAACAACATTACAAAAGAAAGCACGAACAAGATTTAGATAAATGACATTGGGAATGTGCATCAAGTCAAACCATCTCCAAGAGGTAAAGAGCTCAAGGGAACTGAAGTTGTAAACGGTGGAGAAAAAAAGTTTTGACATCAAATTTCCTTTTCGGACAAATAGCTCGATCACGAAAATGCTCATGAAACATACGACAAGCTTCTTCAGATTCAAAGCAATGAGACTCAAAGGAATTAAACGAGGTGGATGATTGACCGACTCTTTAACGTTTGTGGGATGTTTTGGAAGTCATTTGGGTGAAAAAACAATGGCTAAGGATTGAGAATATTGGTTCAAAAATTTTATTGAGTAGATGATGGACGATCCTTAAAACATAAGATCTACGTGAAATTAGCAAATGGGCAAACCTCTTTCAACAAGAACACATTATAACAATAATGGTCAACCCAATTTCAGCAATTGAAGACCATTGGCACAAAATAAGGCATAGTTTCAAAACTACTATAATAGTTGTGAAACTCTAAAAAACAGTGTGTTTTGAAGTTTCGAAACTCCGCCTAAAGTTACGAAACTTGTCGCGCAGCCACTGATTCATATGTATTTAAACCTAATTTTTTTAAAACCTTCACATACTCCCTGCTCCTTTTATCTCTTCCATAAAAAATCCCAAAACCTCTCATCATCCAAATCATTCGTCCGCTACACTAAGGAGCATCGTTTCGTCCTCCAACCGTCGTCCCTTACTCTTACCACCTTCCCTTGCCTTCCTTGCTTTCTCTTTCAATGTTTTTCAAGGTAATTTCCACTCTTTTTCACATTTTTGGCTTCTTAATCCACTTTAATCGTTTGGTTTAGGTTATTTGCTATTCCAAAATTGTTTTTTAAACTCTTGTTGCGCACATTTATCATCTATTTTCAGTTTTGTGGAAAAATATTTTGAAATATTTCACTATTTAGGATTTTGAATTTTCTTTATTTTGTGTGAATATTGCTTACAATTGCAGAAACTGGATTGACCATTAGTGTTATATATGTGTTTTTGTTGCATGAGATTTACCCATTTGCTAATTTCACTTGGATCTTCTGTTTTTAGGACTGCACAACACTTGTTCGATAAACTTCTTGAACCAATATTCTCAATCCTTGGCCACTGTTTTTGTCATCTAAATGGCTTTAACACATCCAAAAAAATGTCCTAAAATCGCTCAATCATCATTCCTTGGAGACTCGTTACTTTGAATTCGATGATGATCGTCGTTGGTTTCGTAAACATTTTCTTGATCGAGCCATTCGACTGGAAAGAAAATTTGATGTCAAATTATTTTTCACTGTTTACAACTTCAGTTTCCTTGAGTTTTTTACCTCTCAGAGGTGGCTTGACTTAATGTGCAATCCCGATGTCATTCATCCAAATCTTGTCCGTGCCTTCTTTTGTAATGTTGTTTTACTTTATCAGCAACCAAATGCGTATTACCTCCTAAATAACAATCGGAAAAGTCATTGACATTCAATTATATCTTATGGAAATATCATTGAGCTTTCTCTTCAGTTTATTTCCACCGACTTAAGTATTTCTTGTAACAGTTCTTTCAATGAGGATGCCCCGGTTGTCATAGCTCCTCTTAAAGGTCACAATCCTACTCTTTTAAATTTCGAGGAACGTCTCTTACACCTTGTTACTTGGTTTCTTCGCCCTTCGGGTGAAAGAACCACTTGTATAAGAGACCTTGACTATTGGCGGATCTATCACTTCCGATAAAAAACTCGTCCTCACCTTGTTCAAATCATCTTTAACGAGCTTGTCAATACAGTTTTCTAAGGGTATTGGTATAAATGTTCTCTACCTTATGCTTGTGTTTTTAACTACATCTTCCCCAAACATCGGGTTAGCCTTGCCTATGACACCTCATATCCCCTCTCGAGCTCCATTGACTTTGTCTCGGCTCACAAGACCAAATATGACTTCGTCAACAGTGAATGGATTCACATTCGTCAAGATCAATTCAGGGAAGTTCCCAGAGGCGATGCCGAGCATGTTGATCATGAAGTGGTTGCTCCTCCGCGTCCTCCTGTCACTTTGGGGTCGCTTTACGACTATATGGCCAATAGATTTGATGTATTTCTACGCTTCG